CTTTTGAACATACAGTGAAATCTTATTTACTTATTATTATTGTTGTTATTGTTTTTTGTATTCTTCTCTCTGGAGTCTGGACTTTGACAAGAAATTTGGACCTTGACAAAAACTAGTTAATTACCTCTGTACTATGGTATATTTAGCATATGATAATGCAAACAGAAATGTACATAGAGGAAATAATACCCCCTGCCCCAGGTTGGGAAGTTTATTTAAAGTACAGAACCAATTAACAGAGAGCCAGATCCTGTTGTTCCATTAGCTTCAGTTACACAGATTTTAAAGCAGCTGAGAATCTGGCTCACATTGTTTAGGAGGACAGGAGAATTTCCTTGGTATCCCATCCCTCCCCAACAAACACATGTAAAGAAATCACTGCCTTTACCTGGAAAAGCCAGCGGGAAGGGGGTTTGAGCCTCAACTACTGGGGTCAATGCTTCATCTGTTGCCACTTGAGTACACGTGTTTTTTTAGTGGACCCGTGGTACTATTATGCAGTGCAGATTCAACCCACTAGAGGATGTGTGTACATGTACACCCCCCTTACCTCCCCCACACACTTCACAATACTAAACAATAGCCAGTTTAAGAGACTAGAAAAAGGGAAATAAATAACTGATCAACCCCCCTTTTTGTTTCCCCCCCCTTTTTTAGGAAGGCTTCTGATTGAATATAGGTTTGTACCAGATGTTTAAGTGAGATGATGTTGGGCAAGTCACAACCTCTCTGTATCTCAGTTTCCCCATTTGCAAAATATGTATAAATATCCACCTCAAGGGAGTGTTGAGAGAATTAATATTTGCAATGTGCTTTGAGATCCTCAAATGAAAAGTTGCTACAAACGTGCAAAGTGTTGTGTATACTTAAACTATACGTTGACTTGATCCTAAAGGAAGAAGAAGGTTCAGTCATTTTGGGATAACTGGCACTAGGTGGGCTGGCAACTGCAGCGTCCCCAAAAGCCAGGAGAATTTGCATGCCTCCTCACGTCTGCATCTATATTTATGTAGGTAATCTGTACGTTTTGCAAGAGTGCTTTCAGATGGTGCCGTGAATGTTTTATGAGCCATTAAAACCTGGAGTGTGTCTAAATGAAGTCATGCAGCAGCCACGGGCCTGAGAACATGTGTGCCTCTTCTGGGTTGAAGGAATGATGTCTTAACCACTTCAATTTTTGAGAGACAAGTGGCTACCTCTGAAGTGACTTTACACAGGGGTGTGCCACATCTCCACCCCCCCCCCCCATGTTTAATGCAGCAGTGACATTGCAAGAAAAGTGCCCTGATTTTTTTTATATAATTAGATGCATACAGATGAATACACCTGTTAAATTGAAGTTGAATTGTGTGTGCGCACACAAAATAAAAATATATGACTCACACAGGTTGATAATTTGTTTTATCTATTTTTTATCGTCAGGAAAGGGAGATATGTAATGGTTATAGAGTTCCTGATCCTCCACAGTTACCAGAGAGGACCAAGATGTGTTCCAGGGGGTGCTTCATAAAAGAGGGACTTCCTAGTCCTGGATTTCTATAGTTACTGTTTACGGCATGGCTTTTGGTGTTTGTCCTCACACTACACAACTGTGCATACCTTCATTGGAAAAACCTAGGCCACAGTGGCGGCCCACAAGGCAATAGGAGTGATAGGAACACTCTTCTGTAAGTAACTCCTGGAGCACTAAAGGAACTCCACCTTTGTAAAGAATTCCACACAAAAAATTATGTTAAAAGAAATATTAAGATTGCAGAGTCAAACATTCGAGGTAGGAAGTGCCGGAATTAAGGTTGCCTATGGACTGTCAGGTCTGTTCGACCTTTCTCTGAGGCCTCCAGGACTAGCCACTGTCAGAACCGTGTACTAGATGGATCAATTATCTTGTTCCAGTATGGAAACTTTTTTATGGTCTTGTTTAATAGAAGCCATTTGCAACCAGTGCAAATCTTTGAAAATGTGTATAGTGTCCCACCTTCATGTCTTCGTTTCCACTTAGCATGACTATTGTACCTTCCTTTTTACAGCCTTCCCACATCCCAGCACACACAGAATGCTACTGCTGTTGTTCATGCACACTTAAAGAAGCACAAACTATATAATCCACATCCTCAAATAGTTCTACTGGCTCCCCATTCATGCTATGTTGCTGGTGCAAAATTGCCCCATTTTTAAACACACCATAGACTTGCTCCAGTCTGCATCATAGAACTTACCTCTTTATATTCCTGTCCCTGCTCATCTAGCCCCAGCTTCCTGTCTGTCCTTTCACAGAATCTCACTGCTACTGGTGCAAGAGCCTTCTCCTCTGCAGTTCCTAGCATCGGGAACAAAATTCCTTCATCTCCATCTTTTCTCAAGTGGCTTCAGATAGCATCTTTATCTCCCTTGAGTACCTCTTTAATTTCTCTCCCCCTCTGCTGTTTATTTTTTTGCTCAATAACTGTCATTTAAACCTGCAAAATACTGTAGGATATAATTGGCACAAAAAATGCTCTGCAAAATAATATAATATTTTATGAATAAGCATGTATTTGAAGTTCTCATTGGGTAGTTTCACATTATAAATCACCTGGAGAGGCATATAACATTGTGATGAGGAGGACATGAATGCAGTCTAATGTCAACATTGGGGACAATTAAAATTAGGGTGGATAGAATAGACCAAGGGACAGACTCCTAAGGACCTCACTTCTTTCACATAGTCCTCAATGCTCAAGAGAGCATTTTGGCTTGTGGTGATGGGCCATAGTGCTTCTGCTAGATGAGAAAACAGAGCAAAAGTAGCATTTCTTTCTCTTATGGGGTGGCAAGTGCAATCATGACAGAGATAACATTGCCTTGGGAGACTTTACAGTACTGTTACTTCTAACCAAAGTAATGTACTTATTTTGATCATAGGTGCTACATGAACCGCTGATTGATGAGGACCCAGTTTTCATTGCCACATGCACAGAGCGGGAGCTACGGAAAAGGAAAAAGCGGAAATTCAGCCTGTGGGTTCGGCAGTGCTCATCTACTGGTTTCATCTGTCAGGTAGGTTCTACGTTGGTTGGTCTCAGTGCAACTTCTAGCAGATAGGTGTGTGCACAAGATTCATCAAAATTGCCAGCTTTACTGGCAGTCTCAGCAGAGGCTGAGGATTAAATGGGCTCTGGAGGCTGAACCAGGCGTCTCTGACCCCGGTGAATGGTAGCTCCAGAATGGATTAGAGGCCCGTTTCTAGTACCATCAAAGGAAGCTTGTACTGCCACTACCCATGCTAGACCTGTTCCGTGGCTAAACAGAGGGTTTCCATTTCTGGAACTATCCGGCTGGCTGCCAGCCTTAAATGCATTTAAAAAAAAAAAAGCCAAACTGCAGCAATAGGGAATATCTCCATCTCAAAGATATCTGAGGAATCTCTCCTGTTCTTTAATTGGATCATTTTTTTCCTCCAAGTATAACACTGCATATATCAGACAGTTTAAGTTGTATCCATATATGTAATAGAATTAGTGGAAGTGTAGCATCCTGATGGCCTGCATTCTGTGGCCAGTATATTAGGTTCCCCCTCCTACCCTCCAAGACATAAAATCTGATATTACCTGAAGAAAACGTAAGAGCTTGAGTGTAAGTAAACTTTAAGGCTTCTGGCTGGGTCTGTTATAAAACATTTTGAGCTAGATTTTTTGGAAGAGCCACTTATGTTGGTGCCTAGATGATGGGGGGGAGGGGGGAAGGAAGGGGGAATGGCCCCAATTGTGAGTGCTGAGCACTTTTGAAAACTCTGGCCGGCGTCACCAATGGTGTAGACTATTTGGATAGCTCTCCAAGAAAGAATTTTATTCTGTAAGACAGGTTAGCTGGAAATAAAGGTCTGCGTTTTCAGTGGTGCAATATGTTGGCAAAGGAATTGGGAGAAAACTAGAATCATATACTTCC